TTGAATCAACTAGTAGAAACTTTGTTTAATACTGATTCTGAGAAATCTACATATTTTGTTCATTTCAAATTTTTCTCATTTCACTGCTATGACTCTATATATATTCAACTACAATTGTTCTTCCTAATTCATTGAATTTACTCAGTCATAAAATGTTACAGTTGTTGAGATGAAAAATCTCTACAAAATCATGTAAATTTTGCAGTATTCTTCAAAAAAGAATCATTACCAGCGCCGCACCGTGCTGCCACGATAATCTCTCCCATCTAGTTTTGATTGAAATGAAAATTTCAATAGGAAGTTTTTATTAAAATTCTTTTTTTTTTTTTCTTATATCATATTTATTTGTTTCTATTCTCAATAGTCCGATCCATGATATAAAACATCAACTTGCATCACTCAGTGTTCGATTTATTGACAAAAGTTTATCAAGTCATTGTTATTTAACTAAAACATGTGCAACAAATTTAAAGATTTTAAATTCTGAAAATGGTATGAGTACTGATTCAAAACTTCACAAACAATTTTATGAAGCTTATAAGAATGATTCCGAAATGAATCAAGTCAATGTATTTATGTGTTTTCATCCTATAGCAATGTGTGAAGTATTTATGCCTTTCAATCGTACATTGATTGTTATTGCATCTACTCGATATGAATTAGCACGATTTTCTAAAGAAGATTGGACTAAATTAAATAAAAATCTTCAAATAATTGCTTCTAATCCTCGGTAAGTATTCATATAAAAAAGCTTTCAGCACAATCCCTTCCGGGATTAAATGTGAAACACGATCCAGCTGCTTTTCCTAATTGCAGGAGAATCTTTTAAATTTATCTATTTCGAAGCACATTTCTAAAATATTTTTTTACCTATTCCTTCAAAATTGGAATCAAAAATTAGTTTATACGTTATAATAAAACGTTTTTGATGCGTGATCTTTGATCTTATATCAACAGTCTTGTATACTCAATGATTGCTTCTCGGAGTGTTTATTAACATATTAGACATGTTAGTCATCGTCTGTGAGGAGTATTCTATTAGCAACTAATCCTTAATTATGAGGTGAATAATCAGTTTCAAACTAGGCATTAAGTAATTAATTAACTACTTAAGAGAGGGTCCATGAAAATACCACCAAATTTATATATCATCG